GCCTTTTGCAACCAATCTAGATTTAAACCTCTCAACATAACCATTATCCTTTATCTTGAATTTATATACCCACTTACATCCAATAGGAATTTTGTCCCCGGGAAGAGGTACCAAATCCCAAGTGTAATTATCGTGGAGAGCCTACAGTTCAGCTTGCATGGCTTCCAACCATCTGTTATCTAGAGTAGCCTCCTTATAGAATGTGGGCGCAATAACTGCATAAAAAGCCTGCAAATATGTGTGATAAGTCGGAGATAGATTATCATAGGAAATGGAAGCAACAATAGGATCCAAAACATTTCCAGCAGAAGGATTGGAAACATAGTCTTTTAGCCAAAGTGGTTGTTTGGAGAGCCTAGAAGACCTTCTAAGAGGTTGAGAAATAATAGAAAGAACTGAAATTGGAGCAGAAGCATCTATATGAATTGGAACAGGAATAATATGAAGTAAACTCTAAGAAGGACTGTGAGGTAAAGGGGATTGTAAAGTAGGAGATTCATTAGAAACATCAGTAAAGCAGTCATCATGTATTGATGGTGCAGGAGGTTCAGAAACTTTGAGAAAATGTTGGAATGGGAATTGTTCCTCATGAAATACCATGACTCTGTTAATAAAAAACTTTTGTTATTACAGATCATAACAAACATAACCGTTGGTAAAATTGGAGTAACCCATAAACACTGCCTTGATTGCTCTGGGAGCAAATTTATCAGTTTGAGGTAGTACACTGGCAAAACAAAGACAACCAAGGGTTCGTAAATGATTAATGCAGGGCTTCTTTCCAAAAAACAATTCATAAGGTGACTTTTCTTCCAGATTAGGAGAAGGCAATCCGTTGATTATATAAGCTGCAGTAAGGATACAACGAACCCAAAACTGAAGAGGAATATGTCCTTGGAACCTTAATCCTCTAGCAACCTCAACAAGGTGCCCGTGCTTCCTCTCAGCAACACCATTTTGTTGAGGTGTGTGAGCACAAGTCTTATAATGAATAATCCCCAAATCTTTAAATAGATCTTGCAGAGAATTATTAATAAACTCTCCTCTAATCTATGTCCTTATACCTTTAACAGAGGTACTGAGTTGAGTATCAACCATTTGAAAGAATTGTCTAAGAGTCTACAACACATCACTCTTGAATTTTAACAGAAATACCCATACATTTCTTGAAATATCATCAACAATAGTAAGAAAAAACTTGTTGCCATCAAAGGTTGGAGTATTATAGGGACCCCATACGTCCAAATGTAACAAAGTAAACATCTCAGTAGATCTAGTACTACTATAATGAAAAGAAAGTCTAGTATGTTTGGTAAGAGGACATATTTCACAATCACTCAAAACTGTTTTACAATCATCAACAGTATACCCTAACAGAGTGCAAGTCTTCTATGCTACAACATAATGTTTTTCTTGTCATTATGAGCAGCAAAGCTTTTAATATTGTCGTGAACTCCAGAGTTATGAAAACTTTGTTGCTGAACCAGAAAATAAAGGCCATCATCCTCTTTACCAATCCCCTTCAGTTTCCGAGTTGTAAGGTCCTGGAATAAACAAAATCCAGGATTGAATGACACAAAATAGTTGATTTCCTTTGTAACTTTTGATATAGATAGAAGATTATATTGAAACTCCGGCACAAAAAAAACATCATGTAACTCTCCTGTGTCTTTGAATTTATAACTACTAGTATGAGTTACCAAGGTCAAACCTCTATTTCGTAAATGTACTTTTCTATTTTGACCCATCTTAATAGTATGTACATTATGCAATGTATCTACACTAGAGATCATGTGATTTGTTTCTCCCCTATCTATGATCCATTCCAAACCTGTAGTTTTAGACGTAGGAGTTTGGACCATACCTACCATGTTCTCCATTACATTAGCAGTAGAAGCATCCCCATCAAGCATCTTCGTGATATTTACATGCTGATCCTTAGTCAGTTGAGGTGCTCTTTGCATATCTTCAGGAACTAAAGGATCCATGTCTTTACCTCTAGCACCTTCAGCTTGAACATTGTAAGCATTATTATTATTTCCATCTCCCTTCTTTTTAAACTTCCAATCATGTGGATATCCATGAAGTTTGAAACAATTACCCTCCACATGACCTTGCATCAGTAATCACATTTCAGATCCCAACTTTTCTTCCACTTATTATAATCTGTAGGCTATGATGTAGAATCCTTATTTTAATTTTGTGGAACAGTTCCCTTGTTGTATTTATGAGACATCCCCTTTCCTGCCACGAGAGCAGCCAGATTTGTACCTTCACCACCTAAAGAAGAAGATGCCATAGATCTCTGACTCTGTCGTTCAACAAGCATGGCATATGCCTTGTTGATGTTAGGAGTGGGATCAATCATTAAGATTTGACTATGTGATTGATCATAGTTCTCATTTAAGCCCATCAAGAATTGCATTAGCTTTTGTCTTTCCAAATGCATAGAAAAATCTTTAGAATTAGGACATTGACAGGAAGCTGGTATGATGCTTGCAAATTCATCCCATAAATTGCGTAGCTTAGAGAAGTATGTAGAAATACAGTCGTTACATTGTACATTCATGTCTATAGCTTTATGCAATTGATAAATCCGAGATGCATTTACCTTGTCAAACTCTCCCGGAGATCTCCCCTGACTTCTCTTGCACTGGTTGCATAAACTATGCGTGTGTGTAATTCCTGTGTCACAGAACTCATGATCCATCCTTGAACAATTGCGTTACACCGGTCCCATTGATGCCTTAACTCATCTCCAAAATCCTCTTTTTTGAGCTGCCATCCACAATTCTTAGCTTGTTTTTTTTCAAGCAATTGAATTCACATAGCTCTGCTCCATGCAGAGTAATTATCGAATCCAGTTAGCTGCATCGAAATAATAGAAGCATCAGTGGTGTCGGAGGGGTGCAAAAAACAGTGCATGATTATGATCAAACTTATTTGTCTCCATTGATGAAGCTTGATGAAACTTGAAATCACACAATTAACTGCAGTAAATCTCACAATTGTGGGTGTAAAGCTCTGATACCATGATAAAATTCAAACAATTGTTCAATCTAACACACCATTGATGAATTCTAGAGAAGAAGAGGAAAGGAAGAAATATTATTTCAACACAATGAAGAAAAATGCTTAACCAATTCAATACAATGGAACAGTGATATATATATATACACACACATTGTTCATTCTTAACCGACTTATCAACTTTGCCTAAATTCCTTAACTACTCCTAACTAAATTTATGTACATACTCAAGTAATACCTATTCATTATAGTTGTTAGCTGACGCCAAGTTAAGGATTTGTTAGTTGACGTCAAGTTAAGGGTCATGTTTACATATTATGTGTGGAAGATAATAGTAAAGTAATGTTACAAAGTATTGAATTACTTGCTCTTCATATGATTTATGCCCCATAGCCATTGGTTATGAAGTAAAAGGAAAAAGCAAATATTTGAAATATTAAAAAAGCTAGAACTTCCAATAAGGAATAATCTTAATACATTCAAAAAAAAATATTTAATTTTTTTAAATATGATTATATATTTGAAATTCGTACGTACAATAGGTATAAACTTAACTTTAAAAAAATTAGAGGGAGAATTAAAATTGATTAAATTTTTAGGGCATCGAATTTATAATTTTACAATTTTCCACAAATCCCTATGTATATAAACATAAATTGTAATGGAAAAACTATATTTTCTTCAAAACGGGAGGCCAAGTCCACATGAATGTTGTGCATAATGTGAATATTGTTCCCTTAATTATTGGAACTTCACACAAGTTGGACTTCAAATATTTAATACCGTTACTTACGGTTGAACACAATCATTTACAATTTAAATAAAAGATATAATTTTGCAAACATCTCTTGTAACTTTTTTATCTGTTGAAAAGAAATTAGTGATAAATTTATAAAATTTAGGATAATATGTTTCATCAAAATTCTCTACAAATATTTGGGTAAATATATTCACAACTAGTGTCTATACAAAATCATACCAGTTTACAATAAGTGAGTTATAAATTAAAGGAAATTATAAGTTCTTATGGATTAAAAGGATGCAGTTTTTATTTTAATTTTTAAAAAATAAAAAATTAAAGGAAATGTGTATTGTTATATTTATTTTTTTATGAAAGAGAATATGTATTGCTCCATTCATTTTATTTTATATGTCGTCTATAATTAAATATAAAGTTTAAGAAAATAAATACACTTTTAAATCTTGTGATTTTAAGCTAAAAAAAATGTGTTGTCTATCAAAAAGTCTTTTGAACTTAATGATAAGAAAACACATCATGTGAAATTGTAAAATTTTAAAACATATTTAATTTCAACATGTTTTATTAAACACAACAAGTAAATCAACATGAAAATTATGTAATTATTGGTGCAACGTGGGTTCATTTGAATTTCCGTTTGGTTTGAATATAAAAAACTTACTTGTATCGGGTGTTTTATATCAAACTAATGCAATTATCATTATTACTTGATTTAATGAAATAAAGCACATGTTAATTAATTAAGATTAAGTGAAATGAACTGTAAATTTAAACACATGGCGTGCATGTATTGGGTTGGTGTAAACACCCGGTGCGGATATGTTTTACCGTTTTAAATGGTTAATTTCTTACAATCACAATTGATTATCCTACAAGAATTCGACTTTCAAACCTAGTACTACCCCTTAATTACTTACTAGGACCTATTAATAATGGGGGAAAAGGACAAATATATCCCAAACATTCGTAAATGGTATGCGTATACCCTTCGTTATACTTTTAAGACATCAATACCCTTGCCATCCAAATTTTGGAGCATATATACCATTTAAGTTAATGGTGGTACACGTGTCTCGATCCTAATCATTGACCTGATATTTGTTAAATTTCTGCCCAAAATTAAAAAAAAATCCACGGGAATTAATCTAGAAACCCGCCCAAATACATAATACCCGTGACCCAAAAAAACTAACCCAAATTCCTAAATCAATTCACCTAAGAGCGAAGAACAAAAGTGGCAACCGTAGATCCGCCGCTACACGGCGGCTCAAGATGTATAATTGTAGGCTAAAGCGTGATCGGAAGGGCAAAATGTTGAAGCACGAGTATCAATCAAAGCAACTTCCTTCAAAGAGGATACAACCAAATCTCGATGGTTTATTAATACTCGGTTGATTAGTCAGGAGAAATTGGAATCCTTTAGAGAAGACATCCAGAATCGGCTTTCTAGCAACTACAATATCATAATAAATGGAAGTAATTTGCCCATGTCCCTTGTAAATGAGCAAAAGAAGAAAGGTAAAGTTATCAACTTTGCAGTATGCAATATCGTGGAACAAATTGTTATTGATCTTGTCTTTGAGGAATAACTCGTTATTTTTTTTTCATATTCTGAGTTTGTTTTAAAAAAAAAAAAAAACTTACCTAATTTAAGATCCCACTGCGACCTCAAAACTCCTTCTCTTTCTCATTCACCTCTTTTCTCCAAACAAATCTTCTAATACTAGTATCAGTCTTTGTGTTTTTTTGGATGGGTCTTTCTCTTCTACGAGAAAATTGACGAGAAATTGGAGGATTTAGTGTTGAAGCTAATTTGGGGATGAAGATGCTGCTAGATAAGTGTTTAAGTTGCTTAATTGAAATTAACTGAATTGATTTGGGGATTTGATTATTATTTTTGGGTTATGGGTATTATGTAATTGGGCGGGTTTTTAAATTAATTCCGGTGGATTTTTTTAATTTTGGACAGATATTTAACAAATATCAGGTTAGTGGTTAGGATCGAGACATGTATACCGCCGTTAACTTAAAGGGTATATATGCTCCAAAATTTGGACGGCAAGGGTATTGATGTCCTGGAAGTATAACGAAGGGTATATGCATACTATTCACAAAAGTTTGAGGGTATATTTGTCCTTTTCCCCTTAATCATATTACGAACAAGTGTAGTGACCCTCTAGATCATTTTCATTGTTCTTTGATCTTTTTAGTGTTTAGAGTTTTCCCTATAATGCTCCCAAGTCATTTATGATTGGTTGGGACTTACAATTTGGTTTCAAGGTCGTTCTTTAAACTTTGTGCAAGTTTTCGTATTTTGTAGCCTTTGAAACTTGAACTGTTGAGTTTAGTTAAAAGTTAAGAAAGACATACTCAGACTGACAATTTAATCGGCTCAGAAAGAGCCATTTTAGGTTAGGGGAATGGTTGGTTCGGGCCTCGAGACTTCTGGTGTGAGTTTGTATTATTAGAAATTTTAACTTGGAAGCTTAAGTCAAGGTTTGACTTTGGTCAATATTCTTGTTAAACGTGTTAAATGAGAATTCCTTCAACGAGGGTAGCTCCAAAATGTTGAATTTGGTCTAGAACAACCTTTCATGTGGTTTCCAACGTTTATTGTGGTTTCTAGCTTAAAATGGAACTTGCGTGTGGGACACTTTTCATCAAAATGACCTCATATGGAAGTTTTGATAGTTTCATTGAGTCTAAAATGTTCAATTGAACAAGGCAACATATTTCGTTTGCGCGCATAGGATTCCAAACGAATTCCAGACACACCATCAGAGAATTCCAAGTTGGGGCAAGCCAATTGATGTACATTAGTTGGTGTAGCACACTCCTTTCATCGCGTTTACGAGGGTTTAGGGTCACGTTAACGAGGGTTGAGGCCGCATTAGCGAGGGTTGAGGGTTGTATTCGCGAGGGGCTGGAAGCCTTGGCCTCTATGATGAGGTGCCTCGTCGTGTTTGTGATGGCTTTCCTCGCTGGTCTTCATATTGCGAAGAGCTTCTTCTGAGTGGGACACGATAATGATCCTTTAGCTACACGATCACGATGGGTTTGTTATTCTAGTCTGTTAAATAAGACCAGTCATGCAATCAGCTCAATCCTACATACTCTTTTGGTGATTTGGGAGCTCCGGCTTGGGTGTTTCAAAGTGCTGGAGGTGTGTGGTGCTACACATTTGAGTGTTCATGGAAGTGTGTAAGGCGTCGGTTTGGGATAATTCTCGCCCCAAAGGGGCTGCCTGTTCTCTTGAACTAGTGTTTTCTTTGTTTTTGTGTGTGCGGGCTATTCTAGACACACAGTTGAGTTCTATTTAAGGACACATGCTTGGTTAGCCGATTAAGACCAATTGGGGGAGTCAATTTTGCGATTCCAATGAAGGTCTTACATTCCATTTTTATTCAATTTTGGTGTTTTTTTTCTTTCATATTTTAGCGATTTTAGTGTCAAAACGTCTATACTAACGTTGTGATTGATAATTTGATAGTGTGGCGGTATTTAGAGGCGATTCAGAAATGAATAACTCATGTGCGGTAGATTCAGAGAACTGGTGATTGGCTTTGAGGTAGGATTTGATCTTCTTTCTTAATTAAACTTCTTAGATAATTCTTATTATAGATTTCATGTATTCTTGGATGGTATTTTCCGAGAATCTAGATTTCCTCTTGTTATTACACCAATTCTTTACTCGGTCGGAGCTTTGGGCGTAGAATGGGTGTTGGAATCCTTACTTTAGGCTTGTATCTTTACTTTAGGTGTAAAAGATCTTGTTTATTCTTTCTAGGATGGGTGTTTTGTGGCCTTAGACTAGATTGGAACTTAGGTGCTTTAGATTGTGCTTTACCATCCTCCTGGTAGGGTTTGTTCCCTAGAGGGCTTGTATTGAGTCATTTTCCTAGAGTTGGTGCTTGTGTCCTTGGTGGCTCGTTGTAGCGTGGATTGGTCCAAGTTATGATCAGTTATGGACTGGAGTAGTTTGTTTGGAGTAGGGTGTCATCCCTAGAGTTAGTTCCCTTCTTTATTGATTTAATACCTCTCCTTTGGTCCTTTTTCTTGTTGTTTAGTAGTAAAACTATTATATTCTTATTGTATTCGATTATACTTTTGGGCCCAAGGTTGTACGCCAGGACGAGTTGGATCCAAGGTTAGTAGTTAGGCCTTTGGTAATGTGTTGTGGTTGACTGTATGATTATTTGACTTGAGTTCCTCGTATGAATGTTGGTGATGACATGCATCGTTTTGCTTGTTCATTCTTATAAGTTTTTGTTTTACAATCCTGGTTCATGTATTGACATCACGATGAACTATTGTTTTATCATAGGAGTCATACCACGGCTATCACTTGGTTTTTTGGCTTTTGATATCACGATGAGCGTCTAGGACATGCTTCTTTCCTACTTAAGATTTTCAAGGCATTTCAAATGCGCTCATTTTTTACTTGACTAGCCATTGTTTCGATGCCTTCTCTTGCATGATCCTTGGCTACTTTGAGGCCCTCTATGGAGTCGACACTTCTTCAGATCACTTTTATTAGTTGGGTTGGGAGTGGACTAGTTGGTTGGGCGACTTGGAATGATTTTTCACTCTTGTGAGCTGGGATAGGAGTTGACTGTGGTCTTGGTTACTTGGCTGGGAGCTCTGTTTCCACTTCTTGGGTTCAAATTTATGGCACTTCCCTGATGTTCCCAAAAAATTCATATGCATCTCCTGTCACCCATATATTTAGTTGTTGATTGTACCCTTTGGTGTATGACGGCCAGTTGGTATCTTCCAAACTTATGGGAGTCCGGCTAGGTTATTGTTTGACTATATTCTGTTCTACTTTATTGTTTTCTTATTAGTTGATAGGTCCTGGACTTTAGAATTTGCTTGTGGATCTCCTGAGCCTAGGTAATTGACTTGTATCTTAGGTTCTTGCGAATAGGTAGTTGGCTCCTATTCCAGGTACGTTCTTGACTCAGCTTCTCATTCCTTGTATCTTGTTTCTACTCTTTGTTGTCTATCTATTTTAGTATCTCATTTTAGCTATTTGTCTCCTTGTTAGTTATTGTTTATGTTTGTGTTATATTTTGAGCTCAGTCAGTCATTGCCTATTGGGTATCGGTTTTGGTGCTTATACTACTTTTTGCCCCCTCCAGATTGTAGTTTGAGTTATCATCGTTGATTTAGAGTAGTTCGGAGCAACTTGGAGCTTTGGAGATTAGGGTGAGTTGTCGACATCCGGAGCTTACAGATTTTCGTCTGTTTGGCTAGACTTATTCTTTATATTGTATTGAAAGACAACTTGTACTTATGTTGTATTTGTCGAAGCCCTGTACACTTCTTTTGGGTTAAATGCTCAATACCGACTGATGAGCCATGTTTTGAGACGGTTAGTGTATGATTAGTTGATTACCTTCTCTTGTTGTAAGCTTTATGCACTTGTTGTTGACTTTCGCTTGGTGGTCTGTTGCTTATAGTTTTGGGCTAAGGGCTAGGCTATCTGCTAGTGTGGTGTAGTAGTTATCATCATTACCTGAGAAATCAAGTTGTGACAAAAAGTACATCAATAGTCATTTATGTGAAACAATCGATGATCAAATGACCATAAAAAGTTAATAGACAATTGGTAGCCATAATAAGAAGCAGATACAAGTTCTTTTTTTAAGTACAAATAGCAATTTCAATTTATGTACAGATCTTGTATCGAACCTCAACCAAACTCACTACAAAGATTCAGCACTAATGATTAAGATCTTTTATAAAAGATTCATTGAAGTCTTTTCTATTTGCAAATGTATAGAAATTGTATCATTATTGCATAAACAAGTAAGCGTAAGTGACACCCACACTAATCTTCATATAACAATGGTCAACTCGGGGAGACGATACTGGGCTAAGGAGACATGGGAGAGGAGAGAGTCATCTACCACAATATAGATGAGAAAATGAAGGGTGAAAATTTAGGAATTTTCTGCAACTTATTATTATTATGGGCCTAAAAACGTCTTAAGGCTCATATAATTCAAAGTGGAGCAATTTAAATTGATGGCAGTCACACGATGTCATTTTCAATTATTTTAACCAATCATCAGGTAATTCTTTTTTATCTGCATAATTTAGAAACAATTTTTTTTAGTTTTATTGAATTGTACAATTGACCCTTCCAATGAATTGATTTTTAATTTGATACTTCAAAATAATTGACCTTTAATTTTGGTCTTTGACACCAAACGTATGCCTAGCAGAGTATATGTCTTTTAAAAGCACATATCATAACTTATAAGATATATAAATATATATATATAAATATAGAATTTTAAACTTATATACCGTGAAAATAGTATTTACCTTAAAAAATAAAAGTTTAAACACCAACACAAAATAGGGAAATAATGGAACCAAATAATTATGTTCTGTTGTTTGTACCTACGTGCTAGAGACGAACTTAAATTTTTGCCATTCTTAAAAAGAATTAATTTATGAACATATTCTAAAAGAGGGGTGAAGTAAAATATGATAAAATGTTGGTGGAGAAATCTCATTGTTGGTAATGCAAAGGTGTATCTTGACAAAATCCTAATGATTTGCCTAATGCTCATCTAGAAGTTTAACAAATATTATCCAAATAATATTAATTTTCAAGATTTTACACACATGAACAAATTTTAGTTCACACCTACTACTCAACTAGTATAAATTGGCATGGTTAGCAAAGTACAAACGTACATAAATTGTCTTGAAAAGTATTAAGAATATGAGTGTTCATATCATAAGAATTATTATAAACATAGGTGTCATGATGAGCTTATTGTTGCTTGAAGTTAGTCTAGTCCTTGGGGATATAGGCACTGCAACATCTTATCATCCTCCTTATACACGTAATTACTCTTCTTCCTAATTACCATTGTGTCATTGTTGAATATATTCCTATTTATATATAATAAGATTAATTACTGACTTTAAATATTGAATTTGTAGGTGACATATTCATACTAAATCTATTTAATATATTTCTTTCTCCTTGTGTTTCAATATTTATTTAAATAATGGTCAACTAATGCAACACTTACATATTTTAGCAAACGAGTCACGATTATAGGGCCCGTTTGGCCATAAATTTTTCAAATAATATTTGAAAAAAATTTGACAAATAATGTTTGTCCATACAATTTGTCATTATTTGACAAATATTTTTGGCAAATATCCCAAATTTCCAAATGGAAAAATTACTTAAATACACTACTTTAATTATCTTAATAACCATTTATCCCAACTTATTTTAAAAATTTCAAAAATCCCTTATTCCCCCAATTCAAAAAAATATAAAAGATACATCAAGATTTTCCACCTTTTTTTCACCCAATTGGCAAGTTTTACTTTACCAAAAACTAAATCCTATTTTTAAGCTACCCACTTCCCCATTAACATCCCCAATTAAAATTTACCATATTAATTTTTATTCCTTTTCCTTTTTATTTCCCTACATTGTAGGTGTATAATTGTCTACTTTTAATTCTCCATTCCACACGTTTGCAGGTTAATTTTGAATTCCAGTTAAAATTTCATCCATATCTATTTGATATTCTAGGACTCTCTTTCCATCTACCAAATTTTCTCCTTCAGCTTATTCATCGTGTGAGTTTACTAATTTTTATTCCTTTTCTACTTTTAATTCCCCATTCCACTTGCAGGTAAATTTTGAATTCCCTTCAAATTTTCATCCATATCTATTTGTTATTTTGTAGGACTATCTTTCCATCTAACTAGATTTTCTCATTCATTCAATTCATCGTGTGAGTTTACAAATATCATGGAAGAGTGTGGTAATTTCAAATGTGTGTATGATTCTGATGATGAGCTGTGGGCTGAGAATAGATCTAAGCGATTGCATGACCCATTGTTGATGAAGAACAACAATGATGAGCCAAAGAAGAAGACTGAAGAAATCAAGAAAAAAAGGCCAAGAAAACTTACATCAACTGTGTAACTTATTATACGTAGCTGGGACAGGATGAACAAGTTTATATGTTGTTTTGTGTTGAAGACAATTATCTTTTGTGTTTTTCTAAAAGCTTATTGGTATTACAATATTTTATTAGTTATGAATGTTATATTTTTTCAAGTTATTTTTTTAGAAACAGTTGTTGGTTTACAAATTTTTTAGTGTTTCATTTTAAGTTATTTTGACAGCTAATTTACAAACTGAAGTATATTACACTTAAGTTCTAATGTGTATGATACATTATTAAGTTTTTTTCACTTTATACAAATGATGTATATGATACATAAGTATAATATATACTTGAAAAAATATTTTAGTTATATATTTAGCAACTTGAATTATATGAATGTATATGATACATCATATACATAAACAAACTTAACCCTGATTACTATTACAGTATAACGCACCACTAGAATGTACTATATCAAAATTACAGTTCATAAGGCTGTACACATTAAACATGTCGTACACATTTGAACAAGTCAAGTTTTGGGACACTAGAATAACTCATGATGGAGTATACACGAAAAATATAACATATTTTTCACTAAAATGAATGTATCTGATACATAACTGGTTACAAATAAGCCCAGCTTGAATTACTGTAAAACTGAAACCCAAACACTGTTGAATATAATATATCAAATTTATAACTCATAAGTATGTATACACGAATCATATAGTAAACAATTGAACAAATCAATTTTTTGTACACTTGAATATCTCAAAATACAATATACACGGAACACATAACATCTTTTCAATAATATTCATGTATATGATACATCACATACACAAACAAACTCCTATATCATTACTGTTACATTGAAAACGCACCACTATTGAATCTATTTATTTATAAAATTTGGAGTTTAAATTTGGCACATAATTAAACTGCAAAGTCACAAATTCTAGACTCGACCAGAGCAAGAGCTTCAGTATCTCTTTCGGTACCTTCCACGCATATGACTTCACCTGATGAACAATCAAAATAACGTATATCCCCAACAATTTTATCAGTTGTATCAATACAAAGAGGATACATGCCAATTCCAGTTGCATTCTTTTTCACTTCGAAATAAAGTTTCACATCCATGTCGTTTTTGATTTTCAACGGACATGAGCTTCCCTCGACAATGTATCGTATTTCAATATCCTTTGTAACATTGTCGATCTCAAGCTCTGCTAAAATCAACGTTTTCAGATTCACAAACGAAATAGAATGGCTAACAACAATTCCATCAACTTTGTAACCTTCATAATTAATATTGCTTACCCAAATTCCAGAATGCCGCAGCAGAATTGAGATATTCATCTTCAAAACCTTTTTTTTTTGAATTCTTAGTATGCAGATCAACCTTTACAAGAATATTTTTGAATTATGAAGCTAATCTGATTTAAAATTTGAATTTACTAATCAGTTACACAATCTGATGACCATTAATTACGTGATTTCAGTTAAGAATAACAAGAATCACGTTAATTAATCCTAATTAATCGCAGCAGCCTTTTAATTATGATGTATCAGTTAATATGTATCCCGTGCCAGAGTGATGTATCCCTTGCCAGAGTGATGTATCCCTACTAATCCGTTACACAATCTGATGACCATTAATTACGTGATTTCAGATAAGAATAACAGAAATCACGTTAATTAACCCTAATTAATCGCAACAGCCTTTAACTTTGATGTATCAGTTCTTATGTATCCCGTGCCAGACTGATGTATCCCGGTTCTTTGCTTTTTAAGGGATTTTTAGTAATTTCAATTCTTACAGGGATAAATGGTCATTTTGTATTTATAATATGTGGTTCCTATAATTTATAACTAGTTTTTTCTAGTATTTGGGCCAAATATCATTATTTGGGATATTTTAAAAATTAAAATTTTACCCCAATCTTTTATCTTTTACAAAAACACCCTCTCTAGTAGTTGCTTGCGTTGTATTACATCATTTTTTACGTGAACACCAAAATAGTGATGAAATATTTAGTGAATATTAAATAATGATATGATTGTTGATGAAAATTATTAAAAATTGGCTTTAGGTAACAAAGTCATGTACTTTATCTACTTCACGATGTATGGAATAATTCTTGTTGCACTCACTCCAAATTACCACATTGCTTCAGTGTCATGGACATTATTTGTTATTGTTGTAACTAACATTCAATTGACTTGTAATACAAACTTTTAGTTAGTTTTGATAGTTTTTAAAACTTGTGTGTATAAATCATATTTTTCTAAAAAGGTGAAATATATTTCCCAAATTTTATGGCCAAACACATGGTGAAATTTCACCCAAATTTTCACTCAAATAATATTTGCCAAGAATATTTGAAAATCTATGGCCAAACGCTAGCTAACAATACACAAGAAGAACGACTTCTTAGCTAGACTAGTTTGATCTCCTCTGTTTTTTAAAAAGGAAATATTTACTACTTCTTGTGTTTCAAAAATAATTACTTCTTCCGTTTCATAATGAATGGTCTAATTTAACTT